AGCCAAACTATAATGCATAAATGAATTTTGAAACTTCCTGAAAAAAGAATTCCTTGATGTTTGTATGAGAATAGTTATATAACTCCATCCCAGCTCTATTTCATAGGAGAAGAGTTATAACTTATAACCAAATCACACAAGCAATAAAACAAGAGGATGAATATAACCATAATAGTTTTGAACAAACCTAATATATCTTCAAGAGCCCTATAGTGTCATGTTGATACAATATAAGTGTGATGTTGGCTATCATAAGTTATGCTTCCAAAATCAATTTCCTTTACAACACTTCACTTGGGACCTCATGTTGTGATTGAGAAATTGAGCTAATAAAAGGAAATGAAAATTTCAACAATTTATGCAAAGAAATGAACAAACCATGATTTATTTAGTATAGAATTTAACAGTTAAAAAGCAATAAATAATTTTTTTAATTTAGGTATGACAAAGGAAAATATAACCAAAATGCATTACAATTGGACAAGCTTACATGTTATTAAGAAATAAGAAGAATGTTCTCTGACTTCAAATTAGCATGAATGAGATACAAATCATGCATAATTGCACACAAGTTCAATAATGGGAAATAGAATTAAACTTCCCCTCCATACAACCACAAAAATAGTTTAAATAAAAATAAGATGGATCTTCATATGAGTAACTTTACTGTAATTTGACGCTTCTAATATGATAGAGGGCAAAATAATATGGATCTTTATAAGAGTAAATTAGTAACATAGTAACTACATATTATATTATTATGGCATAAAGATAATGATGAGATAAAATTGCCAATAAATTTTGTTGAAGCAGTAGTTAGCATAATGAAACAAATAAGATTTGGTAAGAAACTAAGGCTTCGTTTGGTCCGTTTTAGTACAATTTTTTTTATTTTTTACTAAAACTCCGTTGTAGAAAGCAATAAAAAAGCCGTCCCAAACGAAGCCTTAATCTGGGACGACTTTCTTATAACTTTTTAAAATAATTTTTTAGTACGAGATATAAAATTTTTATATTAAAAATTTGTTTTAAAAAACAATAAGAAAGTTGTTCCAAATAAAGCCCAAGTGTAATCATACAACCAAATTTTATTATTCATCATAATTATGATTATATATATATATATATAAGTAATTTATTACAATTTTTTTAAAAAGCAATGAGAAAGTGAAAAAAATAATAATAAAAATAAAACATTGGCTACAATTTTAAAAGCAAAACATCAAGAAAAACTATCCCAAATAAATCTTAAGGCTTCATTAAAATAGCTTTTGATATAAAAATTAAAATTTTTAATAAACTTTTATTTGGGACGACTTTCTTTTTGCTTTCTAAAATAAATTTTTCATACAAAAATTCTTAGTTTAAGAAACTTTTATACTAGAAAGCTGTTTTAAGAAGCGATAAAAAAGCCATGTTATATAACATAGCGTAAGGCTTCATTTGGGACGGCTTTCTTACTGCTTTTTAAAGCTGCTATCTAGTATAAAAAATTTAATTTTTAAACTAGAAAACTGTTTTAAGAAGTAATAAAAAGTTATCCCAAATGAAATTTAAGTCTTATAATGATGAGAGAGAGCTCCAATGCCACCATAATTTTAACACTATTCATAACTAATTCTACATAATAAATTTGCATTGCCATTCTAAGTATATCCATATGCATTGAAATTGCTAGTGTGATTCATGAATGAAATAAATAATTTGAGAAATTGTCTTAAATTTAACTGCGTTTAGATAAAAAAATGCTTTAAAAGTTATAACGTCATTTATTTAAAAGAATAATTATTATATTTATGAAAATTTTAGAAAAGTTATTAAATTTTAAAATATGAATGTATGAGGTGAAAATCACACAAATGGGGTGAATTTCAAATATATCAAATTTATACTAGAAAGTGTCAAAACACAAATTTTACATTATATTTATTTTACTTTAAATCAAACACTAATACCTCTCAAAATTCTTGCTTTTGTAATACTTTACATCCATTTTACTTCAAACAAAATAGCCCCTAAAGATAACCACTACTCCAACCCCTCCCTTTCAAATCCAAATCAATTAAAAGATATAATAAAATACAACATACAGCCTTTATCCCACTACGTTGGATCAGCTACACGAATCCTTTTTCTCAATTGCGCCCTCGTAAGACTCAAATTCTCATTTAAATATAATAAAAAAAAAGTTATTTCAAATATTTTCTAACCAAACCTTTTTTAGGTCTATCTCTACCTTTCTTAACATAGACTAAGGCTTCATTTGGGACGGCTTTTATACTGCTTCTTATGAGAAAGCTGCTTTAAGAATCAATAATAAAATGCTGCTTCTTAAAGCGACTTTTTAGTTTAAACATTAAAATTTTTGTATTAAAAAACTGTTTTAAGAAGCAGTAATAAAGTCGTCTCAAACGAAGCTTAAATCTAATACATCTATTCTCCTAACTAGGTCATCGAAAGGTCGACGTTTTATATCACCAAGCCATCTAAGGTGAATCTCATATATATAATCAAAGTAAACTCATCAAAATTTCATCAAGATGAGTTTTAGTGTAACATATAGAAAATCAATCAAACTTTAAATAGTATTTACATCAAAACAAATTCAAGAATTTTAACTTCATCATAACTAAACTTTGATTAAATATCCTAACTTAATAATTTTCTAAAATAAGGATGCAAAGCATTATAATGTATGAAATTTTCCAAAAAAAAAAATCAGATTTAGAAGATACCATATCAAGTTTGACATTACAATACAGGAAATTCCTCTCATTAACCTGATACATCAAAACAAGACTTAATAATGTGAGCTTACAACAACAAATAAATAAGCCAGATTTATTAGACGCATTGGTAAAACAAAAGCCATAGCCAAGGAAAAAAAAATGACAAGGTTAATCCTAAAATTTTGACTAAATATCCTCATTAATTTGCAAATCTGAAAGGCTGTGGAAGTTTAATTAATTTTAAAAAAAGGGCAAGTATATGTGAGATCACACCTTGTGTTTTCCTCTCTTCAGTTTATCGAGTTCTTCCTCTGCTTCTTTCAGTTGCAATCTCAATGTTGAAACCCTCTGCTGCAATTCCTCTAAAGTGCCTTTGGTTAAGGCAGGCTTGTATGGTGCGATGAAATGCTTGGAAAATCTTTTCAGAGCTTCAACGCCAGTGACCTACAGAAAATCTAGTTTTACTCATGTATTTTTTACAATCAAAACCCTTTAATATACTATAAATATCATCAAAATTCTATATATTTCATTTCAATTCATTCAAAAAATGTCTCTACACATTGAAATCACAAAATTTGTCTCATGCAATCAAAGTCAGTTTTTTAGAAAATTTGTAAGCATTTTTATTGGTGATCAAACCATATATCTTAAGAGTTTTTGAAATCATGTATTATTAGTTTTGATGATGATAAAATAATTGCTGGTTGCAATTTCATTCGAACAATGATTAAAGAGTATATGGAATCATTGTATATAATTTCAATAAATTTGAACATATCAAAATGTTGAAATCACAAGTTTCTTCTAATACAAACAGTGTTATCCAACAACAACAACAACATCAAGCATTTATTTCACTACGGGTCAGCAACACGAATCTTTTTTCTTCATTGTGTCCTATTAAGAGTCAAATTCTCATTTAAATTCAAAAAAGTCATTTCTAATACTTTCTAACCAAGTCTTTTTAGGTCTACCTCTACCTTTTTTAACATAGGCTAAATCTAATACATCCACGCTCCAAATTGGATCATCGGAAGGCTTATGTTTTATGTGACCAAACCATCTAAGTCGACTCGCTCTAATCTTATCTACCACTGGAGCTACTCCAACCTTTTCACATATATACTAGTTTTGAATTTTGTCTCTAAGAGTAAAGCCAGTCATCCAACCGAGCATCCTCATCTTTGCAGCACTTAATTTAATTTTATCTTTCTTTTAAGGGGCAATATGCTACATTATAAAGCATTGGAGGTCACACTACCGCACACTACCGTCTTATAGAATTTTCCTTAAATTTGAGGAGTACTTTTCTATCACACAATAGGCCATATGCATTCCTCCAATTCAACCATCTAACTTGAATTATACTAATTATCCTCTTCTATTTCACTATCACTTTGAACAATAAACTTAAGATATCTAAAACACACACTCTTTTTATGACTTAATCGCCCAAAGTCGCAATCCCCCCACTAGATATATTATTATTAAAATTAAACTCTATGTATTTTGTTTTAGATCTACTCAAACAAACACAATTATCAATACTAGAAGTAATTAAATCATGCATGCCACTAATTTTAATGATTTTAAAGATAATTGAAGTTTATTATTTTCGTTAAAAGTTCACATAGGATAAATTTTGATTGTTACCTCTTCCGGAAGAAGTGGCAACTTGGTGATACTGAAGTCATCATATAACATATAGAACTGATCTATATATTTCTGCTGCATCTTTATTCGAGCTTTCAGCAACTTGGATTCCACAGCTACAAAAACAAATATATTATTTTGCATCCACTTAGAAATGACCAATAAGAACAGAAAATGAAATGCAATAATAGAACTACCTAGCTGTGAGAACTTGTAACTGATAGATTATGCTAGGTCCAAAAAAATAAAAATAAAACATAAAAGATATTAAGTAAGAAAGATATTTGGAGGGTCAAGGTAGGAGCGGAACCAGCTTCAATTTTGAGGAGGGCAAATACTGCACAAAAATAATTAAATATAAAAAAATAATATTATATATCTATAGATTACGAAAAGCTTTTAAAAAAATTAAACAAGAAAAATAAATAAAAAAAATGTGTAATAATGGCATTTCCATGGTTCTGCCCATGGGTCAAGGAATTTCCATGGCTTGGGGGGTAAAAATTAGCAAAACTTTCCGAAATGACCAAAGTGAAAAACAAATTAAATCACAAGGACCATAATTATGGAGTATGCTATAGAATTGGGAAAGCTGCGTAATTCCCTTAACTCTTAATTTGTAAAAAACCAAGATTGTACCTTCATCATCGAATATTACTTGATTGATAATGATATTATGAGCATCTATCTCAAACTTCGCAAGCTCCTGTACAAGCCTTTCAGTTTCATAGAGAGAAAGGAACTCCGGAATGCAGACGCAGACAAAGGTTGTCATGTCCTAGAAAGGAAAAAGAGCATCACTTCAGATGATTTGGAGATGACTACTGCTAAATTTTGGGAGCATCAAGGTCGCTAATGAGCTCACAGTTTCAATGCAGGCCAACAGCCCAATAAGAAACTGATCCACTGAGTTTAATAGCTCTGATCAATCTCATCAAGACTATGCAAAATTATTTTGTTTTCCAGAAATGAAAAAAATTGTTGAAAACATGTTTGACAACGTTGCAATAAGCATGCCTATATATCTAATCCATAGGAAACATAATACTCAAAAATTTCATAATAGAATGAGCCCAGAAGCAGTGAAGCACGTTCTATTAAATGATGCCTACACACTTGTGATGCACTGATGCACATGAGCATTGGAAAGATTAGAATCAGATGCTCCATGGAAAAAAAAAAAAGATATTTCAAGTGACAAAAAGCAAACTATGCAACCTTGCAGAAAATTCTTCAAGTAATAAAAAGCAAGAATTGAAAGCATCATCAATACTAGCAGGATTTCATTTTATGAAATAAAAGCTTAACATCCACCACTTGCCACTTGCCCTAACAAGATTGAATAACAACCTAGATATTTACTATTAATAGCTTGCAGGGACACTCAATTCAGTTGGAAAGATCTGACATTTATAACAACAAGATATATAAAGGTAGGAAATTGACATTTACAGTGCATCCCACTCAGTTCTGTAAGAAAGAAGATTACTTACGTCAGTTAATTTATTATAATGCCTTTTGCATTTCTCTTTCGTATGCTTACATTGCCTCCCTTACGTTTGTAATCTTTAACTAAAAGGACATAACCAATGCACGAAGATCCTTACCCTTGCATTGTACAGAATATTTTAGTGACTCAAAGCCATGACTTCAAGGTAAACTTTTGTAGTTGTAAATTAGGTAGTCCAAACCTTAAAAACCTACCGTCGTTTTCGATGACTAAGGGGCTGCTTGAATGGGCTATGTTTTGAGTGTAAAGTAAAGCAAACACGGGTTCTAAAAATTCGTCCATTTGGGCAGCTGCATTTAAATGTAAGGTATTTTGAGAGTGAATTTGGAATTATACCTCTAGTTCATTTATGGGTGGGTTATTTGGATTATTTCTTTTTTAGTATAATATATTCCTAATTCATCTATTTTGAGAATTTTGGTGTTTGGTACGGTGAATTTCAAATGCAATATAATTTATTAGTGAATTTAATTAACTCTCTAATTCATTGTTTATGTATTGCAAATCAAAAGACATCAAAACACACTATACATTGTTCACCACCTGCTGTGGCAAGCAACAACTGGTTGCCACCTCCATTGTCGTCGACCTCCCCGCAAGAGCCTATCACTGTAGCCACCAGTTGCCACTAAACATCGATCACCCCCCGCCGCCGGTCCGCCGATCCCAAAGGTATAATTTCTGGAACCCTTGTTTGATCTCTTACCTCGGCATGCGTGTCGAGTCGGTGGTCTGCCTATACACACTTTTCTTAGCGTGGTGGGAAAGCCCCAGTTTCCCGTAGTTTTTTTCCCCTAAACGGGGGAGACGCCGGGAGGCTGCCGAAATTTCGGGTGAAATATTACTACACTTGGACCTGTTTTGAACTCAAAGAGAACAAAGAGCCCGGACTCAAATGAGAAAGAGCAGTGGACTTCTGAACTTGATTGAACATGAACTGTGGACTTGTAGACCTTTGAACTTTATTGAATACGAACAGAAGACTTATGGACCTGATTCAGAACCAAAACTCAAATGATTTCTAAAGGTTCAAACCCAAATAAAATAAAATCAAATTGGAATCAAATCCAAATGAAAATGACTATGCAATTGAACTCAAAAGATCTCAAAAGACTTTGAATAATCAATTTGAACATGTACTCTGAGCTCGTGTTTGAACTTGGGCTATACAACATCAAGTGGGGACTTGTAAATTTGATGAATTCAAGTCTGAATGAAATTGAATTTGAATTCAAAAACACATAAAAGGAACAAAGTTTGAATCACGCACGAGGGAACTCAAACTACAAGGACATTCGTACGGTCAGTAGTGACACAAAGTATATTGTAAGACCTCGATGCATGAATTCCTACGACAATCCTTACAAACAACGCCTGTTGATTGAAGAAGGCAACACTACCACTTGACAGTAGAAGATCCGTCCTTGCAAGCAAGTACAATCACCAATATGGTACTGGTGCAAATGACTCTCCTGCGGGCATTTTTAAAAGACCGTACCAAATATGATCCGTTCCTACAAAATACAATCATCAAACCAACCTGAGATTGGTGAAAGGTGGATGTGATACTGATGTCAATGGGTCTTCTACAAATACCTTTAGGGGCTCGTAGTAGATACAAAAGTCCCTACAAAGTCAATGCACTACACCTGTAAGAGGCAACAGACAGTTGTCAGGTGTATGAGCCCTACCCATATGTAGCAATCAAAAATCCATCCCTTACAAGAAAATGAAATCATTCAAAAACCACCTGAGATTGGTGAAAGGTGGATGTGATACTGATGTCAATGGGTCTTCTACAAATAACTTCAGGGGCTCGTAGTAGATACAAAAGTCCCTACAAAGTCAATGCACTACACCTGTAAGAGGCAACAGACAGTTGTCAGGTGTACAAGCCCTACCCATACGTAGCAATAAAATATCCGTCCCTTATAAGAAAATGCAATCATTCAAAAACCACCTGAGATTGGTGAAAGATGGATATGATGCAGAGCGACTCTCCTAAGGATATCTACAAGAGGTCGTAGTGGATACAACGGGTCCTTGCAAATGAATACAACCACTTGTGGATAACAACAGTGGATATATCGTAAGTACAACGAACCACTATGGGCACAAGTATTGATATCACCTATGATATTGGTGATCAAGATCTTCAAGTATTTCAGGTACAAGGGCAACTCCATGTACAAAAAGTACACTCCCTGGCAGAATTGGAAAGGAAGTTTGAACAAATTAGAACCAAACTTCCTGGTGTTCCAAAATCTCTTCTTAGTTCTATACTTAAGAAGAAAACAGTTCTGGTACCCACAAACACCGGAAATAATAAGTCCACTGCATTGACAATCCCAAAAGGAGTTCTCTTCAAAGCATCGGACTTTAAAGTCCAGAAGAGCTCTTCCCCGGTGAATGAGAAAAGGGGGGAGTCAATATCAAGACCAGAACGCCACCGAATCTGCAACACTTATGCAAGCAAACATAAGGCGTCCACAATCTACAACGCACCGCCACCGGATCCACAACATTCGTACTAGCGGACAGAAGGCGTGTAAAAGCTCTCAAGTGAAAAGTTGTGTGTATCCAAATGGTAGTTATTTGCACAACTACAATTATTGCAAAATACCCCTGCATGTACACTATAAATTGTATACACATAGGCACACTAAAGGGGAAAATATAATCCCGACCCGCATGGGCCCCGGCGAGCGTGTTATTGGTACACACGTGACGTCTAGGGATGCTGCTTTGAACCCGATTCTTCTAAGTAAATAAAAGGAGTTGACAGGGTTCAACTATAAAATGCCCCCAAACACCCGCAAGGGCCCCGACGAGCGTGTTATTGGTACACACGTGACTCTTAGGGATGCTGCGCGGGCCAATAAGTGAATTCAGGTTCGATCCTGATCCTTCTATACGGATTAACAGAAGTCGACAGGGTTCGAATCTTCGAACCAAATACACGGTTGTACTGACCAGTGTATTTGTTTAAATACATTCATATTAGGCCTTCAAGGCCTATAATCAAAAGAATTCACTAAATAAAGGCATAAAGCCTACGAAACCCGATCCTCCTAAGCAAGTAAAATAGGAGTGGATAGGGTTCAAGCCATCGGATAAATATGCGGTCGCAAAGTTGACCGGAATATTTATTTGGTACATTCATATTAGGCCTTCAAGGCCTTTAACAAAGAGAATTCACTAAACAAAGGCACAAAGCCTGCAAAAAAAATCCGATCCTCGGTCAATAGCTTGGTCGAGTTGACAGGGTTCAATCAATGAATAGAAATGACCCCAAACACCCCGATGATGGACGTGTTGACTGCAGATCTCAACCGGAGGGGTTTCCAAATATTTTCAAATACCTCCCAAATATCCAAAGTTCATTTCAAATATTCCAAAGCTCCACCCAAAATACCCATAAAAATCCAAAAACCCAAAACTCCATAAAATCCACAAATCCCAAAATTCGAAAAATATTTAAATTTGAAATTCAACCACTTAAAGCAAAATCCATCCACCCTCCGCAACAGTTTGTCAGGGTGGACAAATTAAAATTTACTTTAGCTCACAAAGAGCTAATGCCTATTCGAAAATATCACTAGGATCCATTTTCAAACAATCTCTTGCCAGTAAGGACATGGTACGTGTCCTCTAACCGGCAGTTTCGTCATCAAATGGCACTGCAGGTAAACGATTATGACCCGGGGCCCTCTGAACCGAGTGGTTTTGCCGCCAAATGGCACCACAGATAGCGGTTATGGCCAGAGCCAACACGTTCCTTAGTGGCGTTAAATTCTTGAGATATGAATCAATAAAATATGATTGATATGGCACAAAGCCCTCTGTTGGCTAAGGTGGATTTAAATTTGTCCCCTTAGGCAAATACCCACCCCAGGTCTACAAGGTCTCCTTGGACGAAGCAACCCATGGCTGCCGACAAGGATCCTTCTGTCAGGTTGGGTCGACTACCTCCTCTGACTAAATAGACCAGGGTCCACGATGGCCCGGGATGCGGAACCATGTGATCTTGATCGGGTTTATCATCCATTCCCCCACCATCCGCTTTAAGTGCAAGATGGTGTAATTTCTATTTTAAATATCAAATTGCCCAAATTCCCAAACTTCCAAACATTTCAAATACCTAAAACCTATGCTGCTACTATATGCCAGATAACACGTATTCTTTATGCATCAGATTGACGACTAGCCTTAATCGAAAGTTCTCTCTCGTTATCGGGAGGGGTAATTAACTATAGGGGCTTGCGCCTATAGGAAACCAGAACACAGATCATAAAGTCCTCGCAAAATGAGGGCGAAATCTCTGGGTAGTGTCTTATCTACAAACCCATCTGCCTTCCAAAATTTACCTCGGAACTTATTAGTTAAAACTCCCTCGCCGAATAAAAAGAAAAAGCACGACGGGGAGGCCGGGGCAGAATTTTCGGAGCCCACAAAGATATATAAAGGTAGGAAATTGAAATGTACAGTGCATCCCACTCAGTTCTGTAAGAAAGAAGATTACTTACGTCAGTTAATTTATTATAATGCCTTTTGCATTTCTCTTTCGTACGCTTACATTGCCTTCCTTACGCTTTCATTGCCTTCCTTACGTTTGTAATCTTTAACTAAAAGGACATAACCAATGCACGAAGATCCTTACCCTTGCATTGTAAAGAATATTTTAGTGACTCAAAGCCATGACTTCAAGGTAAACTTTTGTAGTTGTAAATTAGCTAGTCCAAACCTTAAAAACCTACCGTCATTTTCGATGACTAAGGGGCTTCTTGAATGGGCTATGTTTTGAGTGTAAAGTAAAGCAAACACGGGTTTTAAAAATTCGTCCATTTGGGCAGCTGCATTTTAAATGTAAGGTATTTTGAGAGTGAATTTGGAATTATACCTCTAGTTCATTTATGGGTGGGTTATTTGGATTATTTCTTTTTTAGTATAATATATTCCTAATTCATCTATTTTGAGAATTTTGGTGTTTGGTACGGTGAATTTCAAATGCAATATAATTTATTAGTGAATTTAATTAACTCTCTAATTCATTGTTTATGTATTGCAAGTCAAAAGACATCAAAACACACTATACATTGTTAACCACCTTCTGTGGCAAGCAGCAACTGGCTGCCAACTCTATTGCCGTCGACGCTCCCGCTAAGAGCTGTCACTTGTAAGCCACGCAGTTGCCACTAAACATCGATCACCCCCCCCCCCCCTCGCCGCGCGCCTCACATTTTATTACAAACCAAACATAAAAGAGTAATCTCCTACATTTATTTTACAATCAAACAAATAACTTTAAATTAAATAATTGAATTTACTTTACATAACATTCCTTCTATTTTAGCAAACCAAATGACCCCTTAATATATTTGGAATTTGACAATTTTGGCCAAATTGCTCGAATCCAAATACACAACTAGTGTGAAGTGATGTTATTCCCAACTATCGCCACCCGCTGCCATCCACCTCCATCGCTTGCCCACCACCAACTTTAGTAGATGCTATCGACAACCATCAGCCATCATTGTCTCCTTCTATTTTAGCAAACCAAATGACCCCTTAATATATTTGGAATTTGACAATTTTGGCCAAATCCTAGATTGCTCGAATCCAAATACACAACTAGTGTGAAGTGATGTTATTCCCAACCATCGCCACCCGCTGTCATCCACCTCCATCGCTTGCCCACCACCAACTTTAGTAGATGCTATCGACCACCATCAGCCACCATTGTCTCCACCACCATTATCAACCTTCGTCGCCGCCACCACCACCCACCACCCACCAACAACTTTTCTAACCACCATTACTCGCCGCAACTAACCACAATCGTTGGCCCCTAGCCAGCACTGCCTGCCATACACCACCACCGCTGCCACCACTATCACATAGCTTCCGCCAAACGCTTTCATGACCATCGCCCTCTATTGTCCACTGCCCCCGGCCGCCGGTAATCACTACCACAGTCGATGATCCCAACCCACCGAAAGCGGCTGGTGCTATCGCCAACTTTTACACTTTATTAATTTTACTTCAAATCAAACACAAAAAATTAAACTCCTACATTTGTAATGTATGCAATCAAAAGTATTGTCAATACACTGCACTGCGTCTATTTTTCATTGTATATCTTTTACTTTGCATAGATTTTTAGTTAGACCAAACAAACAATAAGCTTTTATTTCACAGATGCATAAGATTTTAATTTTTTTTAAACACAAGTTTTACCCACCTTAAAGCAGAAATTAACATGATAGTTAGGATTTGCTTATGAATACAAGAAGCATGTGCATTACAATCTCAAAGATGACTTTGAATTTAGAGCAGAAGGATTTCTTCAACCTCCAAGAGGAAACTAAAATTAACTCAAAAACATAACCTCGAGTTAATAACCAGATCCGCTCAACCAATAAAATTATTTTGAATTGATGATTCAGCATCAATTCTAAGCTCTTATATATTTTATCAAGTATAAAATTGAAACAGATAGCTCCACCAACTTTACTAAAATGCTTCTCATGAGAAATAATTCTTCTAAATTTCGATCACCAAGCCAAAAGAATAATTCATGAATATGAAAACATTAGAATTCGTGACTTTCTCAAGCACATAAGCAAATTTCAAAATATACAACTTAGCTAGCATAATCATGAATTATCAAGACATCTGAAGAAGTATCAAGAAACGTGTGCACTTACTGGGTCTTTAAATTGTTTGTTAACTTGCTGAATAATATCCCTCATGCCCTCAAGCCTTCCTAGCATAGCGTCCTCACTAAATTCATCTCCAAGACCAAAAAGACGAGAAGCCTGCCACAAATAACAAAACTAAATTCAAGCAATTGGCATGTATCATACTAATAAAATAGATATTTACCTAGTTGTTCACTCAGGAACAATATAAATGGCATTTTAACCACAAAGAATAAACGAGCAATGCATGAACAATACTCGGCCAGAAGATTGAACAAAGAACTATAACATATTTAAAGTAGAACAAAGCCAACGTTTATTTCACGACAACAGTGTTTCCTGATGTGAGAACTCCCTTAATGCTAGCAATATTAATGAATATATTCAGCACAAATTCTAATGAGTGGTCCCCTGATGGTTATTGCATGCCTTAATACTCCCCCAGGAGTATTTATAGAATAACACTATTGCAGTCACTGATGGTTTATTTATTTATTTTTTAAATCTAATAAGCACTAATAACCTATAAACTAATAAGACTCGCAAGGACTCATTGCACTTATTATACCATCCACACCCTTTACAATGACTTTGCCCTCAAGGTCGAGCAAGTTTATCAGAGGATTCAAACGACAATAAGAAGGAAACAAGATTTGCAAGATTTGGAGGAGATGAACTTCGATGGCTATGAGCTCGATCTTGGCTTGGGACAGGCGCATCTAGAAAAGATATGGGTGGAGTGGAGGGATCAATGCACGATGGTGGGAGATCCTACAATGGGAGCCGGTGTTGGAGAGGCCGTAGGAGGTTGATTGGGCAAGATCTAGCAAGAGATGGAGAGCTAAGGAGAAGGGCTAAGGAACATTAGAACAAGCAAGATCTGGTAGATGGAAGAAGTGGCAATGATATTTCATAGATGGGGATGAGGCAGATCTAACGGCAGAAGCATGGATCTGGAAGACATAGGTGGATATAGATGGTGATCAAATCTGGCAGTAATGTGAATAGTGGGAATGAATTTTAATGGCAGAAGCAGGGTGAGGCTCAACAAAATAAAGAAATCAACCATCTTGTCAAAAGGGAGGCAAAGATGAGGCACCTACTGGCATCGAGGTGCAATGAGAGTGTCATTTATTACGAATAAATTGATGAAAATAGTGAGACGAAACTAGATAACTAGGCAACTTCAAACTTACCCAAAACTCCAAAAACCTATCAGGCAAGAACAAAAGCGCAATTCAAGGATGCCCACAAATGCAGGTATCATTGCGGATGAATCATATCTCGTTCTTTATTCATTTTGAATGCCATTATACTTCCAAATGAGTACTTATAGAATTACAATACCCTAATGACAAATTAAACACCTAATAAGCACTAATAACCAATAAACTACTAAGGCTCACAATAAACTACAAAACTATTCTCTAAACTAATTACCTTGACATGATAATTTCAAGGCAAAGCACTCTAGAGGCGGGCAAGATGGCCTTTGATTACGTATCATCTTGGAGGTTGGGGCATTCATCCAATAATTAGCTTTCAAGCCATGTAATGAACTGCTTCCATCAAACCATGCTGAACTAGAATAGTCCTACACACTCGAAATAAAAGTGTTCATAATGAATGCTTTCCATTGTCGTAGATCTTGAAATGCTTATCTTTTCTGAAAAGAGTATAAACAATCTCAAATACCAATTAAAAGAAACATGAACTAGCATGCCAATACATAACAAATATGATCACCATGTTAACAATGAATCTTGGTCCTAGGATAAGCATTTGAATGACCCAATGAGAAAATTATATAAACTTTGAGAAACAATCAGGGGTTGACAACACAGAGTACCACAATTATCAAAAAATAAAAAATTTATTGAGGGTCAATAATGGATAAATCTTTTATTTTAGTTATAAATATCTTGGGGACAATCATGATTTATTCAAAATTTGAGAGTTTGGAGGAGAGATGATGCTGATTTGTTTTTGTGTGTGAGAGGAGGGGAGTATTCATACTTCCAAGGTATAGGTCCGAAGTGCCAATACAACTTTGTTGTTGACAAACTAGCTAGTCATAAGATATCAAATTGATTACATACAAAATATGAGAATGTGGACCTAAAGGAAGCATTTATGCTTCCTAGATTTGAAGGTATGACATGAGATTTTGTAAAGTTAAGGACATCCCTATTCATGAGACTACCTTGTAAATCAAACATGCTACTTGCTATTACAGCTTACTCATATGATACGTCACTTCATTTTCCTTGCATGAAAATCTAATAAAGTTCCAATAACCAATCCTATTTCATTGACCTCTAGTAGGTAGCTAACTCACCCAAGCAAAACTACCTCAAGTCCCCACATCGCTCCACCGACACCCACAACTCCACCCTCACACCTAGTCCCGACAATAGAAATAGGCAAATAATATCAAATAGACAACATGAAAGAGAGCAACCATTCAGTTCCTTCCACAAGGAAACCTGACAAAAAACAGGAAGGTGATACTTCTTGCATCACTTGACAAATTAAGATGCTTCAAGCAATACAGGAGGTATCGTTTGTATCACTTTTTTAACGAAAAATAGCATTGTAGAAAGAGTAGCTTTAAGATATAATTAATCAAGACTTTTTGATGTTATTCACGATAGATATATAGATAGATAAATAGAAGGATATACATTTAACTCAACCAATGATTTAGTTTTACCTGGGTTATAAGACCACCAAATCTATTTTTTAGGGACATAAATTTTGCAAGTCCCTTCTCCAGAGTAGTTGGAAATTGTAATAACCGCAGTGTGTGACCAGTTGGAGCTGTATCAAATACTATTACTGAATAATCCATAGTCTGAACTAATCTGCAGCATAGTCATTGGAACATAAGCAAGAGATCATGTACTTAACAAGCTTCAACAATAATTGCAATTCCTACAGAAAACTTCAAATTTACAACATGAAATACATTTAGGAAAGCAAAAAAATAAGGGTTCATAACCAGAAAAAAGAAAGTTCTTTCCTAGAAAAATGGTTCTAGAATGGATTTAAAATTTTAAATTATAATTCCAATACAATCAATTAACTTATGATATGACTCAAATGAAAGACCTTGTATATGTGCATCAAATATTCTAGCAACATTTATCAGTGATCCATGGGAAGGAACATAACATGAAACCACAATTAAGGAAGCCACCACCCTTCTTGATGGTCGAATCTATTTTGACATGGTAATTGCTACACGAAAAGAATTCCAATGCTACAATCTTACCGGTAAATCTAAAAAAAAAAAAGAATAAAAAAATAAATAAAATGTTTTTCTTTAAAAAAAATATCAAATTTCCAATCAAAGTATTCCTATGGAGTTTTAATGTCAAAGAAGTCTTGTTTAGATTTCAAAGCGTATGCAACTTGCATCAAAGCCAACTCAATGGAAGTTCCATTTAGACTGGAAGTTCTCAACATTAATTTTAGCTTCCACTTTAATACATCATTTAAATATTAGACTAAAAATTTGAAGGATGTCAACATCATTGGCTGGCTCTATCTTTACTCTAATCTCAAAAGAAAAAAGCTACAGTTACAATAGTGCACATATCAGTTGCAGACCTTGTAAAAGGTCAAGAGAATGTGTGGTAAATGGCAGTTGTATATGGATTACGCCAATGACAAACAAAGATAACTGAAGGAATTAAAAAGGTGGATAATCATCTACAAAAGAAAAAGACCCTAGTAATCATCTCCTTAACAAAGCAAGGCATGGATATGAAGAACCAAGTGATGCAATATACAAGATTACAAGGAGATAAAAACTTACTTCAACATTTCTGCAAAGCTCATAGCCTCATCTACTCCAGGGATGGCATTTGATAGCTCTGAGACAAAGCTATCAAGCCCTTCATCATTTGTTAGATCATCACTTTCTACTTTAGGATCCACCTCCTACCAAAATTGAAGAAATTGTGAAATTGTATAGAAAGTGAGGCATACATAAGAAGACGGACAATGGGAGTAATTTCCAGAAACAAAAAAAGAAGAGGGTAAGTGAAAAACAGAAAGGATTTGGATATTAAAACTTGGGCATATTTAAATATACAAGATGCATATGAGTCTTCTACTCTTCGAATTTTAAATAAAAAAAATGAAGCAGTGTTATTGCATTTCTTTACCTCTTTGATGGAAAAGAATGCATGAGAAACAAAGTTGCCACAAGCTCAATTTTTTGGATGGCAGATTCCCACAAAACAGCTAATAGGAGTATTCCTGAGCTTGTTCATTAAATTAAGCACACACTTAACGCATTGAACCATTAGAGCCTATGCGGTTGCAAGATTTAGCTAGGATTTAGAGTTAATCTTGCAAAATAATTTTTTGGACCACAGAAATCTTATTTTTCCTTACATTTTAGGCTAAATTCCAAATTAGTAAATATGAGATTTAAAAGATTTACATCATTTTTTCCTCACCATGTCTCTTCTTCTCATTCATTTAAATCCTAAATACTAACCGAAACCGAGCATCCCCTTACTTTCGCTGCTGACTTGAGCTTTAAATATTGCTCACTTACCGCAAGTAGTAGACAAATGCAAAAAATTATGTTAGAATTAGATCTCCTAGTTCTCTTTTTTACTTTTTCATCATATTTGAGAGCATGAAACTGAATTCTCCATCAAATTAGGAACATTCCTTTCTCACAGACATAGAGAAAACTAAATCATCACACATTCACGGTAGAAGCTTTTGCCCAACCCGCCAACCGCCCCCCCCCCCCCAAATCTAAAACGCATAAAAACATAAAAAAACGAGGTTAAACGAATGAGTGGAGCTATGGGATATATGATTGATTAACCATTTAGGCGAAGAAGTTGTATGAATCCATTGACATAAGTGATGGGAATCTTGTGGATAGTGAATATCCCGCTGGCGAAACGTCGCTTAGGTTGTGGGACGGCGATCGGTGGAATATCACGAGCACCGATTGCTCCTGAAGCCAACAGAAACGATATGAATCGGCTAGCAAGATGTCGTCTTTCCCACTGCCTCCCTTTTCCCACTGAACACCCATTTTAGACCTAAATCCAATGCTAACCCTATGATCTGCGAACAGTTTCGCTAATTCCGGGATATTCAAGCATCACCTCGTTGCTTCTGCTGGCTTCCTCCTCGATTCCCTCTATGTGCGAATGCAGAAGGGAACGAGAAGAAGCCGCGGTCGGCCGAATTCCTTCCCCTCGGAGTAGAATGTGGTATTTAATTCACCGCCGTAACTAATAATCTTTTTTTTTACATATGTACCATATATTATTAATTATTTGCCATTAATATTTAACTTTTATATTATTTATATATTATTTAATATTTAAATCATATAATTTTAT